GACCATAGTTTCAGTTTCTGAGAGAAAAGATTTCAAGACTGTCAATACGCTCAAAAAACGATGGTTTACGAGCGCAAGCATTCATAGCTTCCGATGAAATGTACTTGTGCCAACCCGTGGTACGGCTTGCAGGAACCTTCCAAAGGCGCCGGCCTCACGCTGAGATCAAGTAGCCAGACTGATAGAATCAAGAAATCAACTCATTGAGAAATCGGGCGTGGTGAGAGGCGAACGTTTTAACCAAACGACTTCACAGCCATATATATATATATATATATATATATATATATATATATTAAATAAAAAACAGACCACTTTAAGGTCCCATGTAATAAATTATTTCACCACAGCCCTTTTAAAGGACTTCGGATCATCAGACTTTACTTACAAAGGTTGAAACAAAAAATGAAAAGAAATTTACACATTTTTGACGGGCCGTATTAAGCATATGTAAATTAACGAAGTGAGGGGGAGATAGAAGACATGAGTGAGTTAGATGTAATTTAAAATTTCTATTCTTTTATACTTAAAATTACTTGAAGTACAGACATTGACACATTTAAACGGCTAACTTAACAGAAGTTATCTATTGATACGAAGGGGTAGAGGAGAAAAAAAAACATAAAAAGAAATATATATTAAATTCTTCTGTCAATTTTGAGGAATGAAAATCCAGCAGTTCAGTTTAAATAATATCAAACGTAATAGTTTGATGATTTTGTTTTTCGGACGCGTTAATCTTGACTATACATGCACACGCACACACACACACACACACACACACACACACACACACACACACATATATATATATGTATATATAATTATTTATTTAAAAATATGATTCCATGTAGCGATGGAATCATATTTTTAAATAAATAATTATATTTAGGCTCTACTTTTGTATCGAGCACTGTTTTTTAAAAATAATAACAAAAATACTAAAGAACTTTGGATTATTTACCTAACGAGTTTTTTCCTATTTTCTATATATTTTCACACACACACACACACACACACACACACATATATATATATATATATATATATATATATATATATATAGGTAATGGTTGGCCACTCGTATTCAAAGATAAGTGTCTACTAGGGCGACTAGTTAATCCCTATTGTAGGCACATTTTGTGTTTGTTCAACACCCACACAACCCAAAACTATTATTAGGCGACGTATTTCGTCCTCTGATAATGTCATACAGAGAAAGTAACACGTCGCTTAAGTATAGTTTTTGCTCTAGTCTTATCATTCGTAAGTATATATATATATATATATATATATATATATATATATATATATATATATATGTGTGTGTGTGTGTGTGTGTGTATTTAATAAACGTCAGTGGATGAAAGTAAACCGGTGTGTAATTGTGCATCTGTGTTTTTATTTATTTATTTTGATCTTTTAGACGATTTTCTAACAATAAAACCAAGTCCTACGAATATATATCACTGTCCTGACATTTACAGAAATCGAATTGCCAATTTCTTCCAAATCTCTCAGCCCCCAAATCATTTTACTTGACTGATTTTTCGTTTGGAATTTCATAGAATTCACAAATTAAGATGTCCGATATTCTAACTTGAATTGATTGATAGGCTTATTTGAAAATTAAAACGGAAATCGAAAAAGTAGAGGAAAACGTAACAGGAAGATAAATTAAAAATTAATTGACGTTTCGAGTTTGTTTTTGTTTTTTTTTTTCAAACCGCCCCCCGTTACGAAATACTCGGAATTCCCCGATGATCTACTTTACTGAGATTAACTATTTTCTATTTGCAAGTAGCGTATTAGTTAACAACACAGAAAGCGGGGTCGACGTATTTTTTTTTTTGATTTGTATTTTTTACCATAATAAACTAGGCCCAGGGGCCACTCCATGTAGAAATTTACTCAGTGAGATTGCTGTAAGTGAGGGTGAAGGTGGAAGTTATACGTGCATGTTATCCAAACGTGTGGGTGGGTTGGCTGATTTTGCTTAGCGGCATATCAACCTCTATGGGTTATTTAATGCCGAAATCCATATATGTTGAACATTATTTTATACTTCCAACTACAGATATTTTTTGGACATAATTTTATACGTTCAGAGTAAAGGTATGTTTTTTTTTTTTACATATATAGTTCGTAGATTATACAATGCTTTGTTAGTAATTTTACTATGAAAATGTATTTTCATATTTTTTTAGTCTTGCATTGTCATCTTGCTATAAAAATGTACTGTGACTCATTCTATTATAAAAATGTACTATTGATTTTTGTTTGGGGTTCAATATTTGCCCATAGCTGGGACCCTAACAGGTGCTAACGCCTGGGTCATGGTGGACATGAGAACAACAGCAGTTTGGTTTGGTTTGGTTCGTTTTAAGGCATATCAACCTCAATGGGTTATTTAATGCCAGCAAGATTTTTATTGCTGCTAATATTTTTTTTAATGTATTGCTGGTAATAATGTTTTTTTTTCTAAAAATGTATTGCTGGTAATAATGTTTTTTTCTAAAAATGTATTGCTGGTAATAATGTTTTTTCTAAAAATGTATTGCTGGTAATATTTTTTTTCAAAAATGTACTGCTGGTATTGCTAGTAAATATTTCCTTCAAAATTGTATTGCTAGTATTTTTTCCTCAAATTTATTGCTGGTAATAATTTTTTACAAATATGTATTATTGATATTAGAACCTATTTTTACACTTTCATAGTGTTTTAATCCCAGTCTGGAGATAAACTACTAGCCCATAGCTGGGACCTTAACAGATGCTACCACAACGGTTCAGAGTGAACTTGGGAACATCAGCAATTAAGAGGTGGCTCCACGTTCCTCAAAACCTCCTGATCAGAAGCCTTGCTGCTGGATTTAGTTTATTGTCTTACCTACGACGCGGATGTAGTTTATCGACTTTCCCATGACGTACAACATCAGTTAAGAGGTGATTCTACGCTCCTCAAATCTCCCAACCAGATACCTTGCTGCCGGATGTAGTTTGTTGTCATACCCAGTACAACCGGACCTGTGGTATATATATATTGTTTGACTCTCGTTTTGAAAAATCCAAGATTGTAGAGATCAGGGAAGCATCCTCTCCACATACAAGAATACTGATCTGTTACGTGACATCTGTCCTTCTTTATGGCAGTGAACGTTGGACGATTTCTTCAAAGATGAAGAAGAGAATCGAGGCGACGGAGATGTGGTTATACAGAAGGATGCTGAGGATACCATGGACCGAGATCGTGAGTAACGATGAGGTCTTAGAGAGGATGCAGACAATGAGAAAGCTTACATTTAATATCAGGAAGAGGTAACTGAAGTTCCTGGGACACATAATGAGGAAGGAGGTCTGGAGAATCTGATACTCACAGGTCGAATAGAGGGGAAAGAAAGACAAGGAAAAGCAGCGCGTGACATACCTGGCAAACTTGAAGGTGGATGACAGAACGTGGTCTGGAGGAGGAAGCAAAGGGAAAGAAATTATTGAGTGCTGCAAGGGATAGGGGAGGTGGAGTGTCATGATCGCCTACGTCATGGACATGGCATATAAAAAGAAAAGTAGCCGTTCCAGGAGAGATGCTGTACAAATGGAAGTTACTCCTTACCAGGGGAACATGGAGAGAATGAGCACCGTGAATGCGGTATGGCGTGTCCAAGCTGTGAAGGTTTGAGCTGGTGGAACTAAGGATTGAAAATTATTAGAACATTGAATAATAGCGACAGAGTAGTGATAGGCTAGCAAGGTTTTGTCTGTTGGATAAACGTTTCAGGATGGGAAATAATTCATGAAGACGCATAATCGCTTTATGGCCGTGTTTGCTTCCTTCTCTTTGAACTAATACCTTTGAAAAAGGCTTAAACCCATGTCCCACCAGCTAAAGAATAAACAGCTGGGCAACCTGGGATGTATTGCGTTGGAAGGCAACCAATCTAGGAGAAAGATAACCGTGAGTTAAATATGAAATGGATGAGGCTGTCTCGAAATTTGACGACCTACTAACGCTACATGAGGTGCCACTACGACCCTAATAAATTAAGGGCTCAAGCTCGTATGATCTATTTTTTTTTTTTCTTTTTTGGTGTAGGCAAGATTCATAAAAATCCCAGATTTGTGAAGAACATTTTCGGTTAATTGTTTTGGTATCAGTTTCGTTGCAAACTATTTATACGAAACCATAAAAAAACACTAGTAAAATAGAAATATTGCCGTAATTTCTATTATAGATCTTTAGCAATAGATATCTCCGAGAAAACCATTCAATTTCCCGAATTTTTTTTTCCAAGATTTCCATCATTGCTTGACTGACTTAATTTGATTTTTATGAATGGTGTCCGATCAATATCTGATGACAATAGCTATAATTCTCGATCATTTTGCCTCTAATAATCTGGCATTCCTTGGCCTACACAGGTTTTATCTGTCTAGCTCTCATTTCAAGAATCTATTCAGTTTAAGGAATTAAATAAGGACAATCCAATGTATAGTAAATAATGTTTGAACAAGTTAAAGAGAGGTGAAAGCGAAATTAAGTTTAAGCTGCTCGAAAGAATCTTCCAAATTTAGTGTATTCCGTTTCTTCAAGATAAAACAAGCAGCAGAATTCATTTCTGACTGTTGTTTCTCATGCCTTTAATTTAATTTTTTTTTATTTTAATGAGATGCCCAAACTTGAGCTTCTTAGAAATTATAAAATTTAATTAACACTGTTAAGTTTTACATAAAGATGATCAAAAATCGAGAAAATATTTTTTATCCTAAGTCATAATATCGGGAAATATTTATTAACTTAAAACATTAAACCATTTATTGGCAAGAATCTCTAATAGTCAGACATCGGAGTTTGTATTAATTAATTTTCCTGTAGGTAAAAAAAAAAAAAGAAACAAAACTCTGAGAAATGACTGGAATGTGTTTTCCAAAACACTAAGCATCTAAAATATTAAGTTTACTTCCACAAAGCGACACATTTCTACTTATTGCCTGATGGGACCTACGACCATATCACGTTGAAACACCGTTTCCCGTACGATCATCGAAGTTAAGCAACTTCGAGCTTGGACAGTACCTTGATGCGAGAACGCTTGGGAATACCAGGTGTGATAAGCTTAGATGTGCAGGTGGTAACAGATAACGACTCAGAATTGTTAATCGGAGAGCCGAGTTCGAATTCCGGGTGGCTCTGCTATATTCACTTATGCGCAAATACAATTGGGAAAAGTATGAATCTATTTCGCCTCCCCCACCTATGGATTAATTACTATAACTTGTATCACAAAATCATTATTATTTAAAAAAAAAACAAAAAAATCATACAATCTAAAAATATTTTGTGGCTTTAAATAACCTGCACTGCGTTGATAAACCGTAAAAAACGAATTACTTTGATTTAAAAACTTCCTTTAAGAATGATCATGAAAAAACAAATAGAAAATAAAACTTTTTCAAAAGAGAAATTATGATTCTGCAATCAGAATGAAGATAGTGACGGCTCATATATAAAATCTCTTAGGTACCTCGATGTGGTGTAATGGATAGCAAGCTTGTCTCGCTAGTACAATTAGAAGTGAGTTCGATCCATACTGGGTGCCCCATTCTTTCGATCTTGGGCAACATCGAAATTGTGCTTAGAAAATCTCCATATACAGAATCCGTCATAAAAATTCAGAATGTGGAATTAATAAACTCTAATGATTTTCATTCCCTGGGTGTAGGGATCATTTATAAGAAATTTTCTGTAGGAGATAAGGACATTGACTACGTCCGGTTCTTTTTATACTTGATTACTTTTTTTCAAACATAGTTTCAGATGGGAGACCAATTGTGCACGTGGACAGGAAAGTAGCTTATCGTGTTGCGGACATCCTTTCTACCTTTCTCCCTTTCTTTCACTTCCTCCAAGAGACAATGCCAACTACGTCCTCCCAAAAATAAAGTGTGAAAAAAATACCTAAAAATATTGTAACTGTCGTTGATTCAGTCTGTTGATGCAGCGTTGGCGTCCCTCCTGAGGGATTGTCAATAGACCACCGCAATCCAGAGACAACAGAAAATGCAACAATTTATATTCACTTGATCTGAATTGCGAATCTGTTTGAATTTTAAAATTTAAACAATTTCAGTGGTATTTCTAGTTTATATCTACCGAATTTTCGTATCGAGCAAAATCTGAATTGCATGCAGAATCTCTAGTTTATCACTCTCGATCTTGTTTTCATTCTCGGCTCAACCCGGATCTCAAGTGTAAATCATGCATACGATCCAGGGCTAAAGATGCTGAAAAAAAAGGGTCGGTTCTTTCTACCGCTTCAGCAAGTAACTCACTCCTTCTCCTTTCTTCTACTTTTACAAGAGTCAGATCAAACCGAAAATACAGTACTGCTACCATATATGGGCAGTAGCTGCACAGTCTTCACTTCCCACTCTTGATTTCGTCCAAAAGCATCTCTGTATCATTATAAATGACGAATTATCTCCCAATCTGCAATCCCTTCCTCGCAGACGAGACGTTACAAGACTATTGCTGGTCTGTCGCTATTTCCATGGAGAGAGTTCAGATGAACTACATTCATTAATTCCCCCATTCCTAACCTTCATGGCTAAGAACCGCCATACTGCGTAGATTGTAGTGAGCCACTCCCATTCCCTTTGTATTCCCCTGGTGAGATGTAAGTTCCGCTCAAGCAGCTTCTTCCTACGAACCTTGTCGAACCGACTCCCAAGTGGTTACTTTCATAATCACTACAATCTTAACCTGTTCAATTCTAGGGTTAACTTTTATCTTCCACACGGTTCAGAAAAGTTGTGTCTCTCAATCTACAATTGTCTACCTCAAGTTGTTCTCGGGCCTTGCACAGGGTGAACACCACAGTAAAAAAGCCTAATTACTTATTGTTACTTGAGTAGTCTCATCTTTGTTTCCGTACAATGATAATTACTATACGCTTCTTAAGTTTGTCATGGGCAATTGGTTAGATTGGTTAAAACAATCTCTTTCCAACAATTATACTCAGGTTCGAATATCAACAAGATCGATTTTTGAAGAATGCAAATTCTTGATGTTTTCAGGCTGAGGTGGCGAACTTGTCCGATATTTGTGCGTCGCTGAGTCTTTGGATCGTTCGCTTTCGGACCCTGAGACATGGATTCCAATCTAAACATGACCGATTTGATACCAGTGTGGGGAAGTGATCTAAGCGCGTGACACTTTCGGTAAGTCCTTGCAAAACATATCACGGGTTGCTCCAGGCTCTGTGAAGGAATTCGAATAGACGTAATTGTTTGTCGATGGTGACCAAAGATTTGGCCCTTTTCAAACTGCTTATAATGCTATATAACGCGCTTTCTGACTATTACTAAGCCAGTCCAATATAGTTGTTAGGCTCTGTGAATGTTGGACAAACACAAATGTGTTTGAACATGCGTTTTCAACAGGGACTGGCTAGCCGTCTAAGTAGACAGGTATACTCGTCGGAAACGAGCGGCCAGCTATTATTACTTATAAATTTTGGATTATCGCACCAATAATATTACTGGATATTATTAGAAACAGTTTCCAGGACTTTGTATTCATATTAATAGTGTTTAACCCTGAATGTTTTCAGTTCTTCAATAGACTTCCAATTTTTTATGGCTATACTTCGAGGCCTTCATCGACCTACGCGATAAGAAAAATAACTGCGGAAACTCTTCCATAGTTGCCATAATTATAGAATTCGTATAGCAACACTTATGTTACACCTTGTCAAAAGCCTTTAAGAAATCTAAGGTGATCGATCTCGTGATGAATTTATTATCGAGTTTTTGCATATTCTGTCTATATTGATAGTTATAACATCAGCAGTGGATCTATAGGTGCGAAACACATATTATTTATCGCTCAGAAAGTTGTTTCTGTTGCGGTGATCAACAACCTTTTTCTTGATCATAGGTTCAAGGACTTTGTCGATGCCACTGCCGATTGAGTGATATTGCGAAGTGTATTAGCACACATCTGCATTTTGGAAAACAGAAAACAAGTGACACTTTCCATAAACCTGGAAATCATTTATTCTTCAGACCGTGGTTAAACATCTTTGCCAGTATTGGAGATCATTTTGGGTTAAGGTTCCTAAGACCAACCACTGGAATTCCATGTTTATAAGGCATTTCAAGATAACTGTTACTGTCATTGTTTCACACTATTTTTCAGTCTCGGGTCAGATCAAAATAATTTTGGGGCTTTTTACTTGAATTTTTAAAAACATCTACGATTTGTTATATTAGTGGAGTCCAGTATCTGAGAAAAAATCTGGTTGATAAGGACAAAATTGGTTTTCTGGCCTAGATTGGGTAATCTATTTTTCTCATTAATGTCCTTAGGTAGTTTCTGTTTTGAGGGTAAGCCATTCAAATAGTTTGCAAAAATACCCAGAGGATCAGCTTTCCTACCCATGTCTCTTTCTGTACATCTTTTTGAGGAAGTTCCACTTAGGCAGATTCTTTTCCAATAATAATACATTGCGGAGTGGCCTCCTTCGAGGATGCTTCCTCGATCACTGTAATCTCAACCCCTTCAAGTCAAGGATCAACAGTTATCTATTCTCCCTGTACGCTCTGAAAACAGTATTATTTAGTAAACTTCTCCCTTAAGTGGCTGTTTGGCATTGTATTGAGCGACATTAGTAGTAATGGCTGGCCGCTTGTATTTCTGACTACAACGACGGTTAACCAATCATTGTTACGCACGCCTCTTAAGGCATATTTCTGTTTGTTAAAAAAAAACCCGCAGAGTCCACCTGCGGGTTATACTGCAACCATGCTTAGAAGACCTTAGATTTTCTGGGAAAAAAAAGTGTATTATCTGGCATGATCAATAGTTTCAACAAAGGTTAATACGATCAAACCGTCGGTTATGTTGACTTGTGACCGAACTATTTTGGAAACTATCGACGGTTCCCAAATTATTCCGTTTACTCACGAATCTTGGGTCAACCCGTTGTCTGGTTTTCCGGCACTTTCCATTGGTGTAGTCGCTGGGATCGCCTCCCCAGGCCGATAACATTAAAATGTCATCTTCCTGACAAATCGACCATGATGAGATTCGAACCCCGAGTCTTATGGAAGGGAAGCGAATTTTCTAACCACGAAAATTTAATCAAATGTAAAAATAATCATGTTTTTTTCAATCATTACATGAAAAAACATTAAAAAAAAGGAGTAAATATAACTTAGTCGCATGTTCTCTCTATATATTAATAAGATAGTCCATTGTTATGGTAACACGAGTTATATTTTATTACCAGCGAATAAAGTTTCTGTTAACAACACAATAATAAGAACATGAGATGTGACCGAGTGTGCGATAAATATATGACGTCACATTGTTTTATAGAATAGAATAGATTAAATTTTATGAGAGAAGTATCTTCCTTCTGAACGAGTTCCTAAGAGTTGTAAAACGAACGATAAAATCATACTTAACCACGAAATGATTGTTAGTTAACTTGCTATTACTAGCAAAGACCATACGAAGGATGAAAGTTTGCAAAGCGCAGGCAAATAATGCTAAACATTAAATATTAGACATTTAGAAAATCGTGTTTTGGCAAATATTTCTGGTTTTTTTTCACTGAAAGAAACTTATAAAAGCAAAATTTCATAATACAGATATGACATCAAACGCGGAGTAATTTGAAGTGAACTTTTTTTACTGATTAGAAATAAAACATTCATAATCCAGATGAAATTCTTATGGTATTCAATCTATCTATCTATCTATCTATCTATCTATAATAATCTGCTCAAATCTTTATTTCTATCTATCTATCTATCTATCTATCTATCTATAATAATCTGCTCAAATCTTTATTTCTATCTATCTATCTATCTATCTATCTATCTATCTATCTATCTATCATAATCTGCTCAAATCTTTATTTCTATCTATCTATCTATCTATCTATCTATCTATCTATCTATAATAATCTGCTCAAATCTTTCTATCTATCTATCTATCTATCTATCTATCTATCTATCTATCATAATATGCTCAAATCTTTATTTCTATCTATCTATCTATCTATCTATCTATCTATCTATCTATCATAATCTGCTCAAATC